CAGTTTGCTACACTGTAAATTTTGAAGTTCTTGCCCATTGCAGTAGGGTCCTAACTTTCAGTTTTGTCAATCTTTGAATTTGGCATACACCTTGATATAGTGGCAAAATTGGTATATTTAACTTTCAGTAGAAAATATTCTCCTGGATAACAATGTTGAGTGAATTTTGCTAATTCTGTATTAAAAATGTAATTTTTGAGTTTTAATTAAGTTACATTCAATAAAATTCAGTTCTGCTGATAAAATGGCCACGATTAAAATTAACTAAAATACACCAAAAAATGCAATATATTGTTTTAGATTTATCAAACAATAAAAACAATAATTGATTTTTTCTCACAGTTAAGTTTTTGTAAAAAGTTACTAATTTTAATGAATGACAATGACAAAATGTAAAACATCAAAATTAATGGTTTGTTCTAAGAAAAATTTGAATTTGAACATGGTTTCCATAGAAACATACATTTACCAATAAAGAAGCATTCATATAGTGTGAGAATTGGGGTTTATGCATCAAAGCCTAAACTGTTTTCCGACAACGGGGCGGTGGGTCCCGCTCACAGGGTCAGTGGATGGCAATTTAGGAGGGCGAAAATCGAGTGGGAGGTCGCGGATAAATCGATAAGGCGTTGACTGAGTACGAGTAAACACACATATTTAAGATAACATATATTTTCTTATTTTTTATTAACCCTCAATACCGAAATAATCCCGGGATACCAGGATTGACTAAGTATAATCCCGAAATCCCGGGATTAGAAATAAGGACCGGGATCGAATTCCCTAGTTACACTATAAGGATATGTTATAACTAAAAGGGATACAGTGCAGAGCAGCTTACATAGACAAGCACAAGACAGTAGTAATCATAATACAATGCAGGGTACCTACAAATACATATATCGTATATCTCGGCAGATAAGACGATAGTTGAATCATAAAAAAGGCCCCCAAAATCTGGGTCTTCTTATAGGATAGATACAAAAAAAATTATATTGAAATTTATATAAATTAAAACCATTATAAAAAAATGGAAAATCTGTAATTATTTACTAGTAGAGAGTAGGGGGTGTCCACAAAATAGAATAGCCCATACAATGTTTTTGTGAATAGTCAAGGTCATTACCGAATGCCCGAATTAGTGGAAATGTTTGCAACAATAGGAAGGCAGTGCTGCCAGATGCAAGAAAATAAAATTTGTTCATTCAAAAAATTACAAATAGGACATAATTCCATATACACTATACAGTATTATTTATTCTCCAGATGATGATTGCTGCTCTAAACTACATTCATAGGCCATTGATAGTTTGGGATTATCTTATAGGACAGATATACAGGTAGCCCTCGGTTTACGCCACAGTTCCGTTCCTACAAAAGCTGGCGCAAATCGAATCGGCGTAAAATGAACCCATATTTACACTGAGGTATAGGATTAGGTTATACATAAGTGAAAAATAAGCAAATAAATTTTTTATTAATACATTATAATACAAAATACATATAAATTTAATTTTTAAAATGTATTTTATCATAAAATAAAGTTAAATGTTTTTATTAAAAATTTTAGTTGCGGATCTCTTACATTTTTCAAAAAAGTATCCATCTTTAATTGTTTATGTCTGTTTTTTTTTTTCCATTGAGATTTTCGGAATATGGTCGAATGGATGCGATGATGGCTCCTTTTTACATTTGCACTTCGCTCCCAATCATTGTCTAACTCACAAAGTTCATCCGTCAAACTTTCCATAGTTGAAAGGATATGTTAACCCAACATAGAGCTACAGACGANTAGTTTTAAGTCATCAAATGTGTACTGTACAGTGTGAGCAGATTATGCCTCTGTCATACTCTTGTTTAATGGTGAAATAACAGCATGTTTCTATCAAATTGATTACTGTATTATATTTTCGACAGGAAATACATATGTATTATCTGGTAAATACCATTGATAATTTCATATTTTATAAAAAAAAATTTATAATATACTTACTCGTTTTTTTATTTTTCGAGGTAGAAGCGGAGAAAACATTGCATAAAGTATTCTCACATATTTATTGCAGTTGAAAAAATGAATGGTCTTGTACCGAATCGGAATTGATTGCTAAAAGTAAATTAAAGTAAACCTTCAAAATATTCATAAATTATTAACATTACAATCAAATATATTTAAATTCAAATTTAAAGGTCACATAAGAACAAGTGACCTTTCAATTTGTTATTATCAGATGACCTTTCTATTTTATAAATGGTGTCAATCAGTTTATTAACGAATACTGTCAGATACACATCAATTAGGAGTATTACAACAGATTGTTCCAGCAGGTACAGAACGAACTAAAAAGGGAATTATGAGAACAAGCTGTCACCTATCTCTCAAAAATAAAGACAGAAAAAGAAGTAGCTAGTGTGAGAATCGGGGTTTATGCATCAAAGCCTAAACCGTTTTCCGACAACGGTGCGGTGAGTTCCGCTCACAGGGTCAGTGGATGGCAATTTAGGAGGGCGAAAATCGAGTGGGAGGTCGCGGATAAGTCGATAAGGCGTTGACCGAGTACGAGTAAACACACATATTTAAGATAACATATATATATATTTAATTAACTAAAGATATATTTGAAAGGGTTACAATAATTAAAAATACTACTAATCTCTAACCGAGGTTACAATAGGCGGTTTTCCGGTATGCATCTCGCATATTTGCGATAGAGGACATTCTTGGATCCTCTTAATATCTATTTAGGAATTAGCCCTAGTCCACTTGAGAGAAGGGAGAAAGTTCTACTTACTAAGTTGTAGCTCGTAGAATCTAACCGTGTTGTCCGTCTTTAGCGGTCAGCGATGAGGATCGTCAATCCGTTATTTCCTTCTAAGTTGGAGGCCACCCTGATACTGGCTGGGAGCCCTCTTTATACTGATTTCGAGGGGGTGAGAACTATTACGTTATTCATGATTTATCCGCACACCTGCTAGTGTGTTGATATTTGGATCTAACTAGTTCGGACAAATGACTCAGCGAAGTTTGTCTAATTTATTGTTATTGGTGTCAAAATGATATGATTTTATGATATAAATTCCTATAGGTTTGATGGCTCTCATCCATAAATTAACAATCATTTGACAATAATTTCTTTAACCTGGTCAACTATTTAGTTATTGTTTATATCAAACGTCGAGTTTGACTATGAACAAGGCGATTTATTGCTGTAACCACGTTTTACGTGCAACCAAGAGGTGATAAGAAATATCTCTTATTCCCNTATCTCGTTACAATTTTCAATATTTATTTTATATTATTTACTAATGTTAAATTCTATTCCGCTTCGATTTCCAAATTGCTTCAAATACAAAAGAATCGACAAATTTTCGTGTCTTTTGCCAGCTAAATTGTCAAAGACATTCATATTCCACACACTAATTTCACTCTGTAAATGCATTTTTATGCGTTTACAGAGCCATTTTATCGTGAAAATATCGAACAATTTTTTTTATTGAAGCGTTTATAGTATTTAACTTAGGCATTGGCTGTTCTCTTTTAATAATGTTTTCTTTTTCATTATATGATCTCGAGCCAAAACTTTTTTAAAATAAATTTTCAATATCGCAATTACATTCCGAATCGCTAGCCACGATATAAGGGCTAAAATTAAAATTAAAATTATAAAAACTTACTCGGTGAAATAAAATGTGTGGTAGATATACATACCTGGTACCAAACATTCTTCAATTGTATGAATATACTTTTAAAGAAAATTATAATTAAATATAGCTTTGTTATGAAACGTACATGAAAATAACATAAAATATTCTTTACTCTTTAAATCTTAACCACTTAGTCAAATAGCTCCCTACGAGTGGAATCAGAGACGGTCCTGNTATTGGTGTCAAAATGATATGATTTTATGATATAAATTCCTATAGGTTTGATGGCTCTCATCCATAAATTAACAATCAGTTGACAATAATTTCTTTAACCTGGTCAACTATTTAGTTATTGTTTATATCAAACGTCGAGTTTGACTATGAACAAGGCGATTTATTGCCGTAACCACGTGTTACGTGCAACCAAGAGGTGATAAGAAATATCTCTTATTCCCTTCTTGTTGATACTAACGTCTATAGAATAACTGTTAAACAAATAGAGATGATTTAACTTATAGATATTTTAACATTCTCCGTTTTTTTCTTGTTCGAGAAGAGCGTCTCGGTCATTGACCGTAGAAGTCCCCCTTTTCTCTTTTACTAGGAAAATTCCTAGATCTACTGATCTAAACCAGAAAAAGGGTTTCGGACCTTCACATTTTTGTTGTTATTATATATTACTCAATTCACAAACTTTATTATAACTATTATAAAATTTTCAGTTTATGTGATAATGTAGCCTATACACCATTTGAAATAACACTTTAATAACTAACCAGTTTAAAATCAATACTTTAATACAACAAACTTCCTTACCTACATAAGTATTAAGCATTAAAACAAGGTAATATTATATGTAATTCTTATGTTTTTCACTTATTAAATGAATTATTAATTTGTTGACTGAAAATAAATACAAACTTTTCATATTTTTGTTATTACACTGTTGTTCATGGTACTTTTCATCTAAATATATAAAATCGCTTGTCCTGACTGACTAACTGACTCACTCACTCACTGATTCATCATCACCCACAGCAGACCACTTAACCTAAAGAGGTGAAATTTGGTACACAGTTAGGGTACGTCATGGAAATGCACACTAAGAAGGGATTTTTCGAGATTCCTCCGTGGGCAGGAGAGGGAGAGGATTTAGTCTTCATCAAGTACTTAGGTGTATTAAATTAATATAATAACATTTCAGACATTGTTATAAATATTTTTATCTATTTTGATTTTAATTAATGTTCGAACCATTTTAAATTCAAATTTGTTATTGCATATTGGTTTGATTATAGAATGATTGTAAACGTTCCAGAAAATTGATCAAATTGAAAATAGTTCGTTTGATTCTCGGCAATTCTCATCATTCTCAGCGGTAGGTGTTATATAATAATTACTATGGTTGTTGAAATACAGATTATAAATGGGGTTTGCTTGCAAAATCCACGCGGGCAAAGCCGTGAGTAACAGCTAGTCTATTATATATTCATTTAGAATTATTTGATATATGAAAAAACAGATTACCTGAACAGATGTTCCCATTCCAGAATCTTTTGACATTGCTGACACTTGTGACGATAATGTATTTTCATAATTTTCATCAACCACTGTGCTGACTAGAAAACGAGATCCAACCTGAATGGCCTAAAAAATTCAATTTCAAAAATAATCACACAATAATTTTCAAGAACTTGTTATAAAAATTTTAATATTTTTGTTGAAATTACCATTAAATAATATTTATATTTAAAAGCTGTTTATGTAAATTATACCTCCCAAAACTTGATACCACTTTGTATGACTTACTTAAATCCACTTAATACAAGAAAACCGACTTTATTTTTCTGTGATAAAAAACATTTTCGACTATTATCGAGCCATCTGCAGTTACATCTTTTGCTTCTTAGAGCTTCTAAAGAGAAACAAATACATTGTTATCTTCGTTGCTGATTCAAGAACAAAGTTAACAATGTATTTGTTTTTCTGTGAAAAGCTCTAAAATGCAAAAGTTGTAACAATATGGCTTGATAGTAGTTGAAAACGTTTTTATTAAAAAAATAAAGTGGTTCCATTCCCTTAAATTAAGTAGACGAAGTAATTAAAAATAATAATAATGTTCCAACTCAAACTGCTAATAAAAATTACAATCCAAACCAGACTTGAAATATATCTGTCAAAGCAACAAAAAGACTGTATTCTGCAGTAATCAAATCAAAACAAAACAAAACAAAACACAAAAAAAAGAAAGAATCCAATGCACATACTTTACAGTATATGCAAATCACTTTCTTATTAAATGAAGTTATCTAAATATGAGCATAACTGTTGTAACGCACGACTGACTTGAGACAAAGGAACATGACAAAGATCAGAGGTGCGAAGTTGCCTAACTAGGTCAAGGGGCAATTTGGTATGGGTTATCCCCTGGAGGTTTACATGCATAATAATTCTCCCACTCTCCCACGCTTAATAAAATGTTTAATATTTGTTAGTTTAGAGATTTAGGCATTATACTGGTCTTCGTATTCGCGTTGATCGTCGAGGTTCCAATTCATTTGAGTTTGTCATTGTTCAGTTAGATTCTGCCTCCTTCTCTGGGGGCTGGTCGAAAGTTGTTTTTGTCATTGTCTCCTTTTTGTGAAGTAAAGTCATTATTACAGTTCCTTCATCGTAGCTAATTGTGCTTGGGTGTGGACTAGCGCTAGCTGGAGATGAGTCTCTATTGTTTACTATGCCATTGCACCTGTCAATTTTCTTTTTGTTGAAGTCAAATCCTATTTTAATGGGATTTGTCTGTTTGTTAATTTCACACAGACGTAGTTGATCGTAATGCCTTTTTTATTACGTATCCATCATCGAGTTCAATTAAGTAATGTACATGACCTAGTCATTCACCTAAGGTACCATATTTCCAAGGACCGGACGTTGTGTAATTTCGGGATTGTACACATTCTCCCACGTGATAAAATTTGTAGAATTTCGGTTGTTTGGTTATGTTTCTTTGCGAGGCTTGTGCCTGAAGTTTGAGCAGATCTAATTTTGTTCTTATTGTATGTCCTAATAAGTTTTTTGCTGGACTTTTCCCATTAGATAAGGGAGTCGCTCTATATCAGAATAATAGTTCATGAAGCTTCTGATGTAAGGTACCACTATCATACTTCATACATCTGAGGTGTGTTTTTAAGGTGTGGCAGTATCTTTCAGCCTGGCCATTTAAGGCTGAGTGTCCCGGTGCTATTAAGCTTTGACAGATTCCATTTCTCAAACAAAACTCTTAAAATCCTTGTGACTTAAAAATACTTGCACTTACAAAAATCTCAGGTAGACCAAATCAACCAAAGACTTCATGTAGAAAATAAATTGTGATGGATTTGTCTTGTGCTTTCTTTGTATAGAATATTTCTGGCCATTTTGATTTGGCATCAACAACAATAAAGAAATAATGATTTATAAATGGTCCTGCATAATCGATGTCTATATGTTGCCAGTTTTTTTGTGTGTTTCCCATTTGTGTATTGGGACTTCTGTTGGGTTTTTCTTAATGCATTCTCCTTTCATAGCTGTCTTAAAAATCTAGTATTTCTAAAGTTTTGATTTAGTCCATTTGGAAAGTTTGTCTCATCAGTTTAGAATCTTGCAGGTTAGCTCTGATCCCTGGCTATATGATATACACAACTAGGATAGTGTCAAGTTTGTCAGTATCAATATCATACTTATATGCCCTCACTCTTTTGTGTAAAGATCTTACAGTGTAACCAATATACATTACTGCTTTTTAAATATATCATCAATAACACCCCTAGAACTGTGTTAGGGTCTGAGATGTCCTTGCCATTGCACAGTATTTTGTATATTGTTGGAATGCAACAATATGCAATATTGGTTCCCATATACCTGGCAATTTCCTTATAAACTGGGTTAAGTACTGGGACATAGTCAACAATCACACATTTGTAGTGATGAAAGATGTTTGATCATGTGTTGAAAGGATAATTAATACTGCATACTTGTGTTATACTTGTGTTGTGTTTATACAAGTTTTCAAATAAGTGTTTTTGGTAGCCATGTTGTTAAGCAATATCCCGTGTGTTTTACTTCTTCAAGAGTATCTAGAATATTGCTACAATATGTGTAGACCCTCTTTATCAATGCCCTGAATGCCACATTTGCATTTAATTAAGTCCAAAGAGTATGAAGAAATGAACCATGATTGGAAGTCTGATTTGTAATATATTTTTGTACCAATATAGCTGTCTTTGAAATGTATGTATAAGTCCAAAAAATGTTTAATAATAAAACCATACTGATCTAACTTTAATTTTAGGCCATATGTGCTGTAGTTAATCCAAGTCAAGAAGTAATTGATGTTTGGTTTAGATCACCAAATAATCAGAATGCCACATACAATCTCTTGTAAACAAAAATGTGTTCTGATAAAATCTCTTTCTCTAGAATTCACACTATTAGTTTGCAGAAGTCTTCTGAAAGTAGGCTGCCCATTGAGACTCCACTTTTTTGTAAGTTTCTTCATTGTGTAGTGCTTCACGGCTATTTTTTTACTTGTCATTAATTTTTTTTCTGTTTATTACTTTGTTTGTGTCATATCATCTCTCATTATTATACATGTCCACCTCTGCTTTCTTCCTCCATACCACCAGTTCTCAGCTGATGGGGTATAAGGTATGGGGATTGGCACAGGGTTGGTCACATGAGACAGCATGGTTTCTTCTGGCAGAGGATATAAATTACAGTGTTCTTCTACATGAAAGGCACTTTTTCAGTTTTCGGGCTTTCTTTTTCTTTTTTGCTATTGGATGACACAGCAAATAGCAAGAACTCATCGAGGCAATGGAGGTTGTCATAAAACAAATGAGTGCAAGCAACAGTCAACCTTAAAGAAGGTAGAGGTCAGAGAGGTCATACTAGAAAAAAAACAAAGAATGACACCATTTAAAAATCTGTATCCATCCAAATAAAATATGAATGAATGAATAAAAGAGTAACAAAAGAGAATGAAGGACTAACTGGAGGGTCATGGAAACATATGATTTTTTTGTTCCGAGGTTCATATATTTTTTATTTTTCAATTTGCTTTGTTTCTTTACACTATTATTTTGTATTCTTGTTGGGTATCGAAGGGCCCTCATGCAACGATGAAAGGATAGGAAAAGGTGTGAATGAAAGTAAAACTTGTGTGAGGTTAGCCAATTAGAGTGAGGAGTTTTCTGACAGCCAAGCAGTCAACTCTGTCTTCTGGCTGACATAGGACTCACTGAGACAGGTGTTCCGAAAAAAAAACGTTCAATAAACATTGAAATTTCCTTACAACTATTCAATATGTCAGGCGATACGCATATACAATGGTGGGCAACCACAACAGTTCCACAAAAAAAAAAAGAAAAAGTCTGAATGTTTGGGCAACCTTTGGGTTTCTTCAGCACAGGTGACGGAGAGAGCGACGGCCCTGGGGCACACACCAGAACTTTCTCCTCTACGAGGTGAACCTAGGTGATTCTGGACGTGATGGGTTGACAAAACCAAATCCTAAGGCGTCGAAAGAGCTTACATTGTTGGCAGTTGGGAGCACAAAATCCCAGAAGGGGAGCACTATGAACCAAGAACCTTTGTAACTTAAATCGCATGGTTTTATAGATTTCTTAACCTCAGTTGCCTCTCCATTGGTCTCTCATTGTCACCTGGTGAACATTTGAAACCTAATGGAGGGTACGTGAGAGGTCAACGTTGCAACTGAATATGATTCCTCTCTCTCGTCGAGTTTTCCTCAAATTTATCCGTTTCCATTGTTTAAGTAATTTACAAAAAAAAAATAATTGCATTGTTCAATCGAGACATCTAATCCTTCCCATTAGTGTCTGAAAAAGAGCTCTTTATTTTAAATCAACACCCCTCATTCAGACCTCTCAGTCAACCCCTGTTCGGGTCCTCACACTTGTAATGGGATCAGAATTCATGTTGTATATGTATAGCCTGTATTAAGTGTGTTTAATGTTGCAAATAAACTTTTGTTATTACACCACATGACTTTACACTGACTAATCATTCATCCATGATCTGTGATTTTATTTTTTTGTTTTGACCAATCCTGGACCACCATGTGCTACAGGAATTACTACAATTTTATCTGATGTGAGAAGTGTAGCATAGTTTGTGTGCAAGTTTGAGTATATGTTTGTAAAGATGGGCAGCTGTATGCATAATTTCAAATAAAAAACTTCTTAATGCACAAAAATAGGGCTTTAGAGAAATGGATGGGAATGAAGTCAAATGCAGTTATGTATTCATCATTTACTAAGAGCATGTGTTGTAAAAGTTCAGCTAATTTATGTGGTACTAAGCCAAATGATTGCTTATTATTGGCTAAATTGCTATTATTATGCTATAGTTAATAATTAGAAACAGAGTAATTTGAAACTAGAGGTAGATGTTACGTGCCGTCTCTTATCAAAATTAATAATTATAATAATTTAATAATTTTATTAAATAGTTTAGAACAATCTGGAAGAAAAGAACTAGTATGGAGTGAAACTTGAACCCACAACATCCACTTACCATGTGATGGGTGTGATTGCAAGTTATGCCATCCAAACCCTGAGCAAACATTAGCTTCCAGATATATTTAAATTTAGATACAACCATCCCCAATTATTAAAATTATAAGATTATTATAATTATTAATTTAGATAAGAGATGGTGCCTAACATCTACTTTAGTACCAAATTACAGTAGAGCGTCGTTTATCCGAATCAATTGGGGACTGGGGTTGTTCGAATAACTTATTTTTCGGATAACCGATTATGTACGAAAAAATACATTAACCTATCCCATGTTGAAATTTTTCTCCCTTGCAAGTCACTTTGCGTTAAATTTTCGTCGATGTTAAGCCTAATGTAAACTTTTTAAAATAATAATCGTGGCTATTGTATCATTAAAAATTATTTCTTTATTTTGTTTGTACAAAAAAAATATAAAAACAAAAAAAAAAAATTATACTTTGGAAGTTAATCTAATATCAAAAACATTCGATTCAGCATGACAAACAGTCCTGAGAAAAATATCACACAAATGTGCCAGTGCTGCCAGCCAAAGAACACACATCAACAAAAAAATATTGGAGTAGCCCAAGATATAGCCAAAGATTGCAGTGCCACAGCACTAGCGAAAATTTAAATTTGCGGACTGAAATTCTTTCGGATAAACGACGCTCTACTGTACTTAAATTTCTAATTATTAATTATAGCATAATAATAATAATAGTCTAATTAATAATGGTGATCATTTGACTCAGTATCAATACATCAAACTTTGCAATGTTGATACATAATGTGTGTTGTGTGTGTGTGTGTGTGTGTGTGTGTGTGTGCGCGCGCGTGCACACACACACACATGCGCATGTGCACCGTTGTACTATGCTACGGCACACTTGAATTGAGAGTTATTTAATATTTTATACTTTACACAAATGTTAGTTTAATTAATTAAAAAAATTTCTACATTAATAATTGAAAAATAAAGCAAAAAGGTAATGTCATGTTTAGTTTCAATTTCATTAATTATTATCTGGAATTAGATTTAATAATTACTAAATAATAGTAAAATAAAATAATTAAATTTAATTCAAAAATTATTGTAATTATTAGTTAATGTTAATATAATATGTAATAATTAGTTAATGTTAATATAACCACCTACCTTTAAGAACAGTTAAGCCAAATGATCTTGCTTAATTGTTTTTAAACATGGGTGATTAAATTTTTCTCTTATAGTAACATTAACTAATAATTACAATAATAATAAAGATGGTTTGGCTTAATGAATTAATATATATATAAAATTATAATCTGAATAATCTAAAAATTAATATGACTAATAGAATATTTGGGTTTGGTTATTTATATGTATCTATGATGATCTGTTGACAGAAACAAACAGAAAAAGCAATATTTTAATGCTTGAGATGGTAACTTCTAAACTGCATACCAGTAATTATCTTGCTTTCAATAACTGCCCCAGAGGCACAGAGTTCTTGCGATTTTCTGCAGGGTATACGTTGCCATTGGTTATAAGCCACTGCAGATTATCCACTCGAAATTAGAGTACTTGCATCACCTCCTATTTGTGTCCCAATACTTTAGTCAACACAGTGTATATTATTTAAGTCAACTTATATTACTTATAATACTGTAACTTATATATTCACTTCTATTACTTATTCAACTTATGTTACCTTTAAATTACATTACCTTAGGTACTATTAATGTCTTATAATATAGTTACAAATTAGTAATTACTTGCAAACTAGATGATAAATTTGGAACGGATTGTTTAGATTCATAATTAGAACTTGGTGCAATTACATTATGAATGTGCAACTGGTGTGATGGAGAAGAAGAACCAGCTGACTCAAAATCCAAAATCTTACTTTCTGTAGTAATTTCTTCTTGACTATCAATGCTGGGTCTCTGTAATAGTAATAGTAATAACAGTAACTTATTAGTGACTGTTTTTTTGTTTTAATTTATATATTTACAAATAAATTGGGAAAGAAGAATAGAGCAAAAGGGATCAGAACAAACAATTAAAACAATAAAGGTACTGAAGCATAATATGAAAAAATAAACACTTGACCACATAAACAAAATAAGAATCTATATATCAGTTATGAGGAAAATTATGGTATATATCAATACAATAGAAATAAGAGTAGAAACAGAAACACTAAAAATTTGACAAAATTAGCATACTGATATTGATAACATATTGATATTGTTTGTGAAACAAGAATAAATAAAATAAAAAACAAAAAAATAAAAGCTGGGTTATAAACTGCTTACTGTGACCACATCTGTAACATACCCATATCCGTATTCCGTAAGAGAAGTTTGGATGCATGAAACTTTTACAGTATGGATATGCAGAATCTGTAGACCACATGTGCCAAGTAGCCATTTGATCAGAGGTCAAAAGCCAAAAGTAGCTGACAAATCCTGGACACATCAGGAATCCAATGGAAATGGAAAAGTCTGCGCAACTTTTGTCAATCAAGAAAAAAAATGCTTGCATGACTTATAACTAATAGCTTGTCATCTAAATATTCAACAGTGTTCACCATAATACAAGAGCATTGCAAGTGATGCTAGTAATAAATAATTGCTGGGTTGAGCAAAAAAACAAAAAGGATTATGTCTAATATAACATTTGAACAATACAGATATTGTATAAAATATATAGTAAGAGTCACTATACATTTATTTTCTATTTGCTTTATGAAACAAATAAAAAAGTAAATGAATAAATAATTATAGTGTAGATATGAAAACACTATTATTTTCAAGGATTTCTCCCACACCGGGTCATATACAACAAATATGCTTACTTCTTAACCAATATCCGGCGTGAAAACTCCAAACAAAGATTGGCAAATGCTTTCGATGCCCCTCCTGGGCTCTTCTTCAGGCCAAATTTACTGTACTGGATTCTTAAATCGAATGTTTTTAAATCTTAAAAGATTTAAATTTTTAAATCTTTTAAGATTTAAAAA